TCTAATGGGTTAAATTGTCTATAAAAAGCTCCAAAACAAAACACCAATAGCGTGCAAACCACTAGAATTTTTTGACCTGTGAACTTGGACAAAGTTAAAACGCAACCCAGCCCAAATGTATGGACTCTTTCATTATTCATCCTTGCATTTTAACTAGGAATATCAGCTGTGATTAAGCAAGTGTTCAACAATCACACCCAGGTTTCAAGAAACATACTGAATAAAACTAGCAATTACCAGTGACAATAACGAAGACAATACAACTCCCTTTCTGCGGTCTAATTTTAAGTACTGAATATAACTCTCAGGCTGTTTTTCTTGTTTCAGTAAAGGGCATTGCCCTGACTATACAGATACGAGAGATTCTAAAAGGAAAAAAAAAAAATTTATATAAGGTGGGGTATATTCTTGGACCCAAACCCAAAAGTGACAAAAACATGGTCCGTTCCATAAATATGTTCTCACCTGCAATGAATTATTCCTATCGTTGTCAACAAAAACAAAATAAAAAATCATATATACATAGTCAAAATTAAACTCCTTGAAAATTGCAATCCCTTCTTGTCCCAGAGACGACAGGCATTAGGATGGATAGCATGGCAAGTCCTTTAGAGTGGAATTAGATTTTGAGAAGATAATAATACGGGAAGATCTGTTGTTGAACATGGCATTGGGAGTTGATACAGAAAACTCCTCACCAATTCTGCAACTGAGCAGTAATACTTTTTACCAAGGGGTGGTAAACTGTGTGCATCAGTTTCTTAGCTTTCTCTGAACCAGGTTGATCAAGCCATTCATCGTACAAGCTTTTTATGAATGGGTTCTCAAAAGGATCGGCCTCCAAAACCTGAAAATTATGGAACACCATTTAATAGACCCAGTAAAATGTTATGCAACCGAACTTACAGGTGAAGTGCAGACATAACAAAAGAAGAATACTTGTGGATCATACACGCAAGCAATTGAAATAGCTCCATTGACTATTTGCATTGAGTTCATTACAATTTTCAAATTTTCTTAGTTTCTTCTTATGTTACCTAACCTAGAATGTGAAACATTCAGGTACAAGGAATAAGAATTGGAATGCAGTACACCACATACTCCAAAATGTAGTATGAGGGGTAGACTTCTTAATTTGACATCCAACATATTATAATGTATTTTTCTTCAAATTAATCGTTTCACAACACAATTCTATGACCATTATGATAACAACTCATACAAAAAAGTCAACAACTCATACAAAAAAGTCAAAGATTCTCTTTTCTCTCTACTTTCTGCACATCTTTTCGTAATTAGCCAAAAAGTCATCACAAACATATAAGTTTTTTTTACTTACCTTTTTAGCCAAATAGCTAAAAAATTACTAAATTAGTCTGTTCCCAAACGGGGCCTAAGTGACAGGTCTCAATGGCATTAGCCCATGCGGGTTTTGCCTTTACCTAAAACTATTGGAACAATGCTTCCACATGAGCATATAATAATTTTTGGCAAAATTATCTATTTGTGGTAATTGCATAAAATTATTACATATGTATGGAAAATTTTATAATTTTAATTATAAATATTGATAAATTTTAACACTAATTTGTAATTATTTTTCGACTTACACACTAATTTAAAATTTCTGCATAATTTTTTGGAAGCTTACGTGTAGGTTCTAATCGGTGAACTTATTGTCCAATTAGTCATGTGATAATTAATGACTTTTTCATCAAATACTATTAAAATAGTCATTAATTATTAATTTCTAACAATAAATTAAATTTGTTACAAAAAATATCACTAATTATAAATTTTAGCATTAGTTTAAAAAAAATCATCACAAAAAGTCATTGATTTTTAACTTTTAGCGTCAGTTTGAAAAAATCACAAAAAAATCACTAATTATAAGTTTGAGCAACAATATATAACAACCATGATAAAAAAAATCGCTAATTGTCAATTTTTAGTGACATGCAAAAAATCATCATAAAAAATTATTTTTAACAATAATTTTGTTGAAACTTATTTTTAACAAAACTTGATAAGAGTTAAATCCAGCTATTCAAACCTATTGATAATTTATCTTAATTTTGGTTGACATTCTTTCCTTAATAGGTCATCTATCAAATCTAATGGGTTAAATTGTCTATAAAAAGCTCCAAAACAAAACACCAATAGCGTGCAAACCACTAGAATTTTTTGACCTGTGAACTTGGACAAAGTTAAAACGCAACCCACCCCAAATGTATGGACTCTTTCATTATTCATCCTTGCATTTTAACTAGGAATATCAGCTGTGATTAAGCAAGTACTCAACAATCACACCCAGGTTTCAAGAAACATACTGAACAAGACTAGCAATTACCAGTGACAATAACGAAGACAATACAACTCCCTTTCTGCGGTCTAATTTTAAGTACTGAATATAACTCTCAGGCTGTTTTTCTTGTTTCAGTAAAGGGCATTGCCCCGACTATACAGATACGAGAGATTCTAAAAGGAAAAAAAAAAAATTTATATAAGGTGGGGTATATTCTTGGACCCAAACCCAAAAGTGACAAAAACATGGTTCGTTCCATAAATATGTTCTCACCTGCAATGAATTATTCCTATCGTTGTCAACAAAAACAAAATAAAAAATCATATATACATAGTCAAAATTAAACTCCTTGAAAATTGCAATCCCTTCTTGTCCCAGAGACGACAGGCATTAGGATGGATAGCATGGCAAGTCCTTTAGAGTGGAATTAGATTTTGAGAAGATAATAATACGGGAAGATCTGTTGTTGAACATGGCATTGGGAGTTGATACAGAAAACTCCTCACCAATTCTGCAACTGAGCAGTAATACTTTTTACCAAGGGGTGGTAAACTGTGTGCATCTGTTTCTTAGCTTTCTCTGAACCAGGTTGATCAAGCCATTCATCGTACAAGCTTTTTATGAATGGGTTCTCAAAAGGATCGGCCTCCAAAACCTGAAAATTATGGAACACCATTTAATAGACCCAGTAAAATGTTATGCAACCGAACTTACAGGTGAAGTGCAGACATAACAAAAGAAGAATACTTGTGGATCATACACGCAAGCAATTGAAATAGCTCCATTGACTATTTGCATTGAGTTCATTACAATTTTCAAATATTCTTAGTTTCTTCTTATGTTACCTAACCTAGAATGCGGAACATTCAGGTACAAGGAATGAGAATGGGAATGCAGTACACCACATACTCCAAAATGTAGTATGAGGGGTAGACTTCTTAATTTGACATCCAACATATTATAATGTATTTTTCTTCAAATTAATCGTTTCACAACACAATTCTATGAGCATTATGATCCATTTTACATTTTGTTAATCTAAAACTTCACTTAGATTTTAGTTCATTATATTTGATATTTCCTTATTAAGAACTTTCAATGAAAAAATTAAATAATAATAATAATAAAATTATGGGATCATTAAATTCCCCATTTTTGGAATGAAAGTGTATTATCTTTCGAAACATGCGTTCCAAAACATAAATTGGTAGGATGCTAGCATTTTCTGGTAACATTGGTTTCTTCTTGCACACATAATTACATATTGGCAGTGGGTGCACATTTCTAATACATCCTACAAAAATCAGAGCCCCTACACTATTAAATATACACGGAAGGACTCCAGACTCTGGTCAAATTATAGATAAAGCAGAACCCAAGATGTAACTACCAAAGCCAAAACCACACAGAAAGAAGTCCAAGACCTGCACATCAGCCAACACTTACATTTTCCATATAGGTTGTTTCTAATGACTGAATAAAATCCTTGGGAGATTGCTCTGGCTTTCGCTTGATTTGACCTCCACCATTTAAGCACCCTAGTAAATAAAAGAAAGGAAAATCATATGCCATATTATAGTGTGACATAAAGAGAAGGGCAAATGTTCCAAAAATAAAAAGTCCCGGTTTCTCTATCATGGTTTTCCTGCAATGACCTTCTTGTGCTTTTATCACAGGAAGACATGTCAATAAAGTATATAATCTGACAGTTTGAGTTAAAACTAAAGTAAAATCACATTAAAACCACACACGCTAAAACAACATAGTTTTGCATTAACTTTAAACATGTCATTGGATTAGCACAACAAGATCATTGCAGAGAGATTCATTGTTGAGAATCCTGATCCTATAAAAAAATGAACTAATCTGAAAATTGAAGGAATACACGCATGCATTTAAATACCTGAAGGGCATGCCATGACCTCTATAAATTGGTAATCACATTTGCCAATCTTGATTTTCCTCACTATATTCTGCAGGTTCCGAAACCCATAACATAGTGCAAATTTCAAGACAATTTTCCCCTCTACCTGCATTAGAAGGAAATGCACAATATATTACTGTTGTGTGTACACGTGTGTTGCGTTTGCAAAACATATCACATGTAACCATAGCAGCCATAAAGATAAGTTTATGGCAACAGGATACGTGAAGATGTGGGATGGTTAGAAGACAGACCATCACTTGGTAGGTACCAAAATGGACACCCCCTAGGGAAATTATCAAAATGAATGACTATTGTATTAGAACATAATAACCACCAAGTCACCAAGACAACACTCAATTGAATCACAATTAGATTGATTAGTTTAGAGGAAGAATCTAATCAGCTAGTTCCTCCAAAATGGTAGTGCCCGTCTCCTGCTGCTTATGCTATGAATCACGCAAACAAGATCAAAAATAGGCCAAACTTACTTCTAGACAAACTTCTCGGAAATCTGAATTTTTTATAATCTTCAAGTCCAAAGGGCCTTCAATTTCTTTCCCAAATACTTTTTTAGCAGTATTCCGAAAAATTGTCTCTGCATATCCTCCAGAGCTTCCATGAACCCCATAAAGATGTCCTTCCTCATTAACATTTGTTAGCCTACAGGGAAATCACTTATTTTCAAATTTTCTAGTGCAAAACGAAAGGAAAGCACCTTCAAAGGATAATCTTTGTTCTTACAAATTATCTAGAGGAGACTCTTCCAAGGCCTTGAAATCTACTGACTTTGACTGCAACAGAGAACAAAAAAGGAATATAAAATAGATAAACAAACAAACATATAGCCATGATCATTTATCTAAGACAATTTGTGTTAATGAGATTAACAAATATGGAAAGGTTTTGGCATTACCTGTATCAAATCAAGAACTTCTCCAGATGTCAAAACTGAGTCCACCTCTGTAATCTGTAGACCTTGAGGTTCCTCTTCAAACATGAAGTCATCCCTGGCAGCCTCAAGTTTCTTGTCATAACAGGGCATTATTGTCACATGGTAGACCTCATCTGGCCTGTCAAAATAAATATCAAATAACTTATCAAAACTTCAATATTGCCAAGCCCAAAATTTGATGAACAAAGAGGCACCATAAGATATTAGCTAAAAGACAGCCTATAAAGGGAGTTGATGATCTAAGACCAACAACTACGCCGCATATTGTAGTCCAGTAATCTGTTAGCTAAGTTACACGGACGCGGGTACGAGGATCGGGTGTGGGTGCGTATCTAGGGGTCGGACATTTCAAAATTAAAAATTAAGGATACGTGGATATGTATCCAAATTTAGATACGGGTACGGGGATACGTTATATATATATATATTTTAAATATAGTTATTAAGATGAGTTATATTATATAAATAACAAATAATTATTTTACATATATGTGTTTATTTATTTTTATTAATATATATAAGTATATATTATCTTATAAATATCTTATATGTTATACAATAATTATTATATAATATCTATATAATTTATATAATATCTATTGTATTATATAATTTTTTTTAGATGAATAATATTACATATTATTATATTAATGTAATTTATACTATATATTATATATTAATGTAAATGTAATATGAGAATAATAATTTATAAAAATTATTATTATATATGATAAATTATATAAATTATATTATATATATTATATATAAATTATATAAATTATATTATATAAATTATATTATATATATTATATATGATCAATATATATGATCAAATCAGAGGCGAAGAGAGAGAACAGATTGAGAGACGAGAGAGAGAGAGTAGCAGAGACGAGACGAAGAGAGAGAGAGAAGCAGAAACGAAGAGAGAGACGAAGACGATCGAGCTCGAGGTCGAGATCGACAGTGATCGAGGCCCTAGACGAAGACGATCGAAGCCCTAGACGAAGACGATCGTGATCAATAGTGAGAGCCCTAATCGTGATCGATGATCGAAGCCAACAGTGACCAGGTTCTCTTCCTTTCTCCTCTTCCATTTCTTTGCTGTCTGTAAAGTGCTCCTCTTCCATTTCTTTGCTGTCTGTAAAGTGCTCCTCTTCCATTTCTTTGCTGTCTGTAAAGTGCTCCTCTTCCATTTCTTTGCTGTCTGTAAAGTGCTCCTCTTCCATTTCTTTGCTGTCTGTAAAGTGCTCCTCTTCCATTTCTTTGCTGTCTGTAAAGTGCTCCTCTTCCATTTCTTTGCTGTCTGTGAAGTGCCGTGTCCGAGAGAGACGAGGCGAATCCGACACAGATCTCACACCCGCACCCGTGTCGTGTCGTGTCGACACGGGTACTTCGCCCCAAAGTGACGAGTCCATGTAACATAGTCTGTTAGTAATTAAATCACCCTCTCATTATATGTAGAATGTCAGATACTTTGTACACATGACAGAAAAAGCTGAGATGAGCCCATAATATAATTTCATAATGTTAGGAGCAAGTCAACATGAAACCAACAGAAGACTGAAGAGCACACCTGGTTAGACTTAATTAATTATGAGAAGGAAAAAAACAATACTGCTAATTTACCAGCAAGAAATGCTTAAACACTCCAAACAACATAGAATACAGTAATCCACTTTTCTTTTTTTAATAGCTACAGTATTCCATTTCGGGAAGCATATTTTTAAACTGCAATAGATTAGAAAGTGGGAAAAGGTTACACAATAAAACCACATAGCTACACATGTTAGATATGACCAAACAATAAGAATAAGATAAGAAACAATGCAAAGAGAAAAGTGTCTTGATTGATAGGGAATCCATCAATCTTATCAACTAAGGTGATCTCCTAATTTGATAACCATATTCCCATCTTGATCGCTTTGCATGAAAGGTCTCCATCATTGCAACGAATATTGTGACTCAGGTGCATGACAGGTTGGGAACACAAGAATGAAGAAAAAGACAGGCATAAAATGAAGCCAATGACAAATAATGCTTCAAATCAAAATCTTGGTGGTTCTTTTTTTTTTTTTTTGTTCATTCCAAATGTCAGCCACTTTGTGCAAATTATGCCAAAAAGTTAGGTTTGTACCCAATGTACCCCTCCTAGACCAACATCCAATGGGGTTTAAACTGGGCATATTTTACTTTTCTTTTCTTTTCTTTTCATTTCTTTTTTTTTTTTTTTTTAACATTTCAAAATGGCATATAGCTTCATGAACAATATTGAGAAAAATACAGATTAATTGGGATGCATAGGAACGTAAGATTGAATGAGATTACCTAATACACATTTTTTGGCATATTTGGTGCTTTACGATAGCTCCCATAGTTTGTTGGGGACTCTTCACCGAGGAAATATATGGCAGGATATAGGATCCAAGAGTTTTTTCAGCATAGCATATCCAACCTGAGAGTACAAAAAGATGTTCATATAACATAACAGAAAAATTCTACAAGAACTACAAAATATTTTTCAATAAACTCTTATTGCCTACACATGATAAAGAATCTATCAAGTTCATACAAAAGCTGCCCCACTTTTAGTGGTCTTTGCAAGAGTGTACGTGGATGCAGTAATAATGAATCTATGAAATTCTTAGGGAAGTGAACCCATTTATATAATGGTCTTTGCAAGAGTGAGTGTGTATGCAGTGACATTATACAGTGAAGAAATATTATTAGGACAAGACATATACCTGGACAAGCAGAGGAAATCCTTGGTAGGGATGATTTACAGTTTCCATCATCAGATGAATAGCTTTGTTTGTAACGTGTCATGAATTCGTTACAGGATTCGATAAGTGATAAGTCTCTACTGCAGCTGGTATCATATACAGCCTTCACTCCCAATGATTTAAGAAATGTTGTGAGTTTCTTGAAAACCTGAAAATAGGAACAGAAACCTCAACCACATAGCATGTGTGCACATAATCTTAGAACTGCTTTTGCATAATGTTATTGAGATTTGAAACCTTCATAATGAAAAATCAAGCACTTCCACAGAAGTGGAAGCTATGAATTGCGACAAAGATGCATGCACATACTGACCAAACAGGATAAAATAATTAAGATAATAATGACAAAAGTTTCTCTGCCTTATCATTTTGTAGGGGGGAAAAGTCTGTTATAAGTAAAGGAGGGGAAATGGAGTAACTGTAGTGCAACTCACCTGAAGTGGAGAAAGACCAAAATGAACTGCAAGGGAAGCTCTTGACTGGGGAGAGAGGGAGACAATAACAGTCTTCCTTTTCTCAATATTAGAAAGAAACTCATCCAAACTCTGCTTCTCAAGCATTACTGTTTCAGCTGATGTTATGCATCCGCTGCATGGTCACAACAAATTTCGATTCATGAATTTAATCAATCTTGTATGTTTCAGAAATTGAGACACTAACTGAATAAATGAAATTTGCAGTGAGGACCCATGAAATAAATCATTCTGATAAGTAAATCAATTGAATGGCCCCAAAAACTATGTGTGAGCTCATAATAGGAGAAAATTTGGCATGTAAAACGTTTTTATGCATAATCTACAATTATGTATATCCGATTTGGATTATGAGAAAATATTGACAGCTTACTTACTACAAACTAAAAAAATAAATGTCAACCAACTTTTTTATTTTGATAAAACAATTAGAAATGGAGTAATGCTACAATATATCATAACTATGTTATAACCAACACTACAATGAGTCATAACAAACACCGCAATGGGTCATAACCAGAGGCCACAAAGGTTATAACTGGTGCATATAGTATACACATTTTTTGAGGTGTGTATTATAGAATTTCCCTTGGAAATGACTTCCTTAACTAGTACGTCCATTTTTTTGGGTCAAGTTTTTTCCCTTGGAAATGACTTCCTTAACTAGTACGTCCATTTTTTTGGGTCAAGTTTCAGAAAATAAATACGTTTTGTGTATGTTACCCTATATAAATAGTCAAACCATGGAAAACCCATAGAGAGAGAGAGAGAGACAGAGAGAGAGGGAGAGAGAGTATACCTGCATGCTAAGCAGTCCTTGAGTGAAATTTTTACTGGTTCTGTGTGCTTTGGATCAGTAACAGACACACCCTTCTCTGGTTTCTGCTGTTGTAACAATTATGAAACAAAAGTTCAAAACAAAATGAATGAGAAGCATTTGTTCATCAGACGCAAGAAAGATATTTGCAATTGATGATCAATCCTCACTTAAATTCATCATACACCGCAATAAAATTTTCTCAATTTCTAGAATAATCGCTCAGCAACTATTATATAATACCAATTTCAGTTAAACTAAGATCAAGTGAATAAACAGAAAACACTTTGCACAATTAAACTAGCACTAAAACACAAGTTTGAGAGATTTCTAAACCCTGATTAAGAACCCAAGATACAAAATTCGATAACAATTGAAACCCTAATAGAGTAATATTAAAAATAAAAATAAAAAAGAAAAGAAAAGAAAAGAGAGTATTGGTTGTTAATTACCTCAGATTTATCGGGCTTGTTGGAGGTGGCTTTGAGTCCCTTGAGAGAAACAACACAACCCTGAGACGGAGCTATGTAATCATTCAGGTCGCCAATCCTCAGCGTCGCCGAGAACTTCTCTGACATCTCTCTCTCTCCACAACTCTCTCTCTCTCTCTCTCTCTCTCTATATATATATATATATATCTACAACACGCACACAACTCTGCTGAAAAAATATGTAGTTATATATGTATCCAACGGCGGAAAGTAGGAGGAGAGGGAAGGGGTGGATCGGAGTCGGAGGCGGTGATGTGTGTGTATTGGTGGGAAAAAGGTTGATTTCTTTTTTCCGGAGAGAGCATGTAGCTTGGTGAATTGCCGAATAGGGTGGCGAGATTGTGTGGAAAAAGTGAAAAGTCAAAGTTACTTGTGTTTGGTGCAGATTATTGAAAGTTAAAAATTGAAAATCAGAAATGAATAATGTTGAGAAACGTTTGTTTTCAGAGTGAGGGGTGAGGGAAATGATAAAGACGAGATTAATAGTGAAAGGGTTGGTAATAAAAAAATTAAGTAAAATTATATTTGTTTTTGATAATAGTTATTAGTGTGAGAATTGTTAAATTATTATTTTATAAAAGAAATCGGGTTGAAGGGTTGTCTGGGCCCAACTCAAATTATGTTTGGAAGTGTCCAAGTCCGACCATTAACTCGAGCTTGGCTGCTCAAACTCGGACCAAGTTTCATAATTTGAATTTGATTTAGCCCAAATTGTCGAAATTTCACAAGGTAACAAACAGTGTTTCATTATTCCATACAACAAATTGAAATACTGAATATAAATCCATTAGTCCATACAACAAACTTAAATATCATCCCAGCCACAAATATTACTACAGATAAAAGTAGAATATCATAAAGTTGACATGATAAACATAAACTCAAAACCACAAAATAAAAAGAAGTGATCCAAGTAGTAGTCCAGTAAAAACTTCAATCCAACATAAATTTCATATTTTGATCTTCACATCTTCATCTCAATGTAACTAGGGCTGCAAATGAACCGAACTGTTCGTGAACAAGCTCGGCTCGGCTCGGCTCGTTAAGGGCTCGGCTCGGCTCAGTTCGTTTAGTAAACGAGCCGAGCTCGAGCTCGAATATTAGGCTCGTTTAGTAAAGGAGCCGAGCTCGAGCTCGCATGTGTTCGGCTCATTAAGCTCGGCTCGTTTATCTTTATTTAAATTATATAATAAATATATTATTTATATATTAAATAATATATAAATATATATAAATACATTATTTATATATTAAAAATATATAAAAATAATAATATAAATACATTTTTTATATATTAAATAATATAAATAATTTTTTTTTATTTAAATATTTATATTTAAATAATATAAATAATATTAAAAAAAATTATCGAGCCGAGCCGAGCTCGAGTTTTATTAAAATTAACGAGCCGAGCCGAGCTCGAGCCCAGTTCCTTATCGAGCCGAGCTCGAGCTCAATAAACGAGCTCGATAAATAAACGAGCCGAGCTCGAGCTCAGCAGAGCTCAGCAAAGCTCGGCTCGGCTCGGTTCGTTTGCAGCCCTAAATGTAACCATATCCTAAAAACAAAGGACATAATTACAAATAACTTAAATAAAATAATACAAACCAAATGAAATATTAAATTATTCTTAGCTCGTAGTAAAATTTCTTTCAAACATTACTTGAGCTTAATATAAAAAGAGTACCAATTTCATCCGTTATGGCTGCGAAAATTAAAATACTTGAGATAATATAATAATATAATGGGCAAATTACATATACATCCCTCGAGGTTTGGCTAAATTACAGATACCCCCCTGAGGTTTCAGAAATTACATCCCGCCCCCTGAGGTTTGTATTTTCATAACAATTTGCCCCCTGAGATTTATATTTCATAACAAATTACCCCCTAATTTCTTATGCAAATATAGCATTCAGGGGGGAATTCGTAATTTCTCAAACCTCAGGGGGGCATCTGTAATTTAGCCAAACCTCGAGGGGTGTATATGTAATTTGCCCTAATATAATAAGATTTGTAAATTAAAAATAAAGCACTAGTGTAAAGACTAACTTACTTGACTTTAGTTTCTCAAGGTCCTCTAATTTTTCTTCAATATCAATTGGATTTGATGAACTCCTTAACCAATCTCGTCTACAAATCAAAGATTCCACAATTTTAAGAGTTAAAAACTGCGAAATTGATCAAGTACTCGACCCCCGGTACTAATCAAAGACTCCACAGTTTTAGGAGTTAAGAATTGCGAAATTGAAGTACTCGACCCCCGGTACTAAATGCGGATTTTAAAGAAACAGTTGATATAAGAATGGATAAAATATCACGTGCCATAAGACAAAGCACACGATATGTAAATGCTTTCATTTTCCACCAAGCTAAAATGTCAAAATGTTTGGATTCCTCTTCAACCCCATCTTCCAAATAACGATCAAACTCGGATTTAATGACCACAATTTTTTCAGCTTTCAAGAATTGATGCCAATCTTGTTTATGCATATCAACCCCAACACTTAAAATCCCCAGATCATCCATTCTAACATCATTTCCACCTTTAGAGACACCCACATTTTCTATAGATTCTAACATAGAAGAGGAGTAATGTTCATAAAGTTGCTTCATGACAAACTTCACTTTCTCAATCATAGCATCAACATCACTAACGGAATAATACGTTGTGAAATAAAACTTAACATACTTCAACTTGTAACGTGAAGCGCAAAAAGCTGGCCCGGACAAACTTCACTTTCTCAATCATAGCATCAACATCACTAACGGAATAATACGTTGTGAAATAAAACTTAACATACTTCAATTAGTCGAGGTGCGCGAAAAGCTAGCCCAGACACTCGGTTATCAAAAAAAAAAAAAAACTTGTAACGTGGATCTAAAACCACGGCAACAATCAACAAAGGATTAATCTTCTCAATGTTACAATACTTCTCAACTTCAATTTCATTTTAATAGCCATGTTAGAAAAGAACTTGTTCTCATGATTTGCCCAACTCAAGAGGAGAGCTTGAATCATACTTGGAATTAGAAGTCACATACTTGGAACCGGAGACACGCTTTGTTATCAAATAAAAGTTCTCAAGGAACTTATGAAGACTTTTAATTGTCATCCAATCCTCCTTCGTCATAACATTCTTAACCTCGATTTTGAAACACACATCCTTATCCTCCAATCTATCAAATAATATTTGATATTCAATTGCATTGTTTAACATGAGATAAGTTGAATTCCATCGCGTTTGTACATCTAAACACAAAACCCTCTTACCCAAAATTCTTTCCACCTCGGCATATTTTTTGAACAATTGCAATCGAGATGGGAAACTCCTCACATATTTCACATAATCTCTAAGAGCCAAGCCTCCTCAATTCCATCCCTCACAATCAGATTTTGGATATGAGCATAACACTTCACATGGGAAAAAGTAATCACCATTTAATAACAACTCATTCCTCTTAACAAGCTTCCTTTTTAAACTTAAAGCTACTACATCATTTGAGCTTGCGTTATCTACCGTAATTGCGCATAATTTTTCCAATTGCCTCTCTAGTAAGCATGTTTCCATGGCTTGTGCAATTACCTCACCATGATATGGACTTGAAAGAACACAAAAATTGATAATTCTTTTTTGTAACTTCCAATCAATATCAATGTAATGTGCTGTGAGACACATGTACCCAAGTTTTTTAATAGAAGTCCACAAATCTGTGGTGAGACAAACTCTTGAAGCTGAACTTTGAAAGATTGCTTTCAAAAGTTTCCTTTCAAAATTATAAATTTCTATACAATCTTTGGTGATTGTGGTTCTTGAGACAATGGTGGTATTTGGTGCAGCTTATTGTAAGTTAAAAGTTGATAATCAGAAAGTAGAAATCAAAAGTACTCCTTCCTCAGCTTCTAAATAATTAGCTTTTCTCAACTTATTTAAGCTATTTCTGCCTAAAAAGCTATAAGCAGAAACTGCACCAAACATTCTGGCACTGATTCCTAAATTAAAATAAGCAATAATCATCCCCTATAATCCACATCAAACACCCCCAATGTGAAATTTTGGTTGCAAGGCATTCACAAACCTTTTAAAAGCCTCTTTCTTCACAAAACTATAAGGTAGGTCATCAATGATAATCATACAAGCGAGTTCCCTATAATGTTCTTGATCAAATTTCCAATTCACAATTTGAGCTTGACTATCAACTGTTGATGAGAAAGACAATTGTTGTTGGGTTGGGTCCTTGTTACTGTCATAATAAGAGCATTGCTTAAGGTGTCTCCAAAGTGTGCTAGTACCTAAAACACTTGGACAAGCAAATTCATGTCCACAATAGTTGCAATTGCTCGTTTTGCTTTACTCTCATTAGTTTGTATAATCTTTGTAAAATGATCCCACACTAGAGACTTGGATTTATATGGTTTCTTGCGCTTACCTTCCTTTGGTTTTGTGTCACCCCCAACTGGATTTTTGTCTCTGTTATTTGTTCCATCAGTTTCCCCAATTATGTCTGACATACAATGTTGCAAAAGCTTTCTGTATAATGAAGAAAGAAACATAATGCATTTAAAGACATAACATAATACATAACATAACCAAAGAAACAACATATGAGTTTGCCACATCTACTTGAGTTCACAAGACTCAAATTTGATTAAAGTTATTCATATATATATATATATATATCATTTAGAGGCACAGAGCACAAGCATATTACAGGCACAAAGCACATCTCAATATTTAAAAAAACACAAAAACAAAAATTTACTGAATAATATATATATATATATATATCAACTTGGAATCAAACACATGCAGAGCACAAACATAGCCCATGGTTGGTATTTCTAGTTAGTTCTCTACATAAACACACTCACTCTTTTTCTCTTTCTTTCCATAATCAAACCCATTTCTCTCTCTCTCTCTCTCTCTCTCTCTCTCTCTCTGTCTCTCTCTTTGAATGCAAGGCTACCTCAGTTCTCATGGCTTCTAAGAAGAACTTCGTTGAGTTAGAAGACTTCTTTAGACCCGAGAACACAAAACAGAGTGGAAGAAGAAAGTTGAAATCCAACAAGTCAGTCCCAAAGAAGAAGAAACAACCACATGGAGGAATTGAAGAAACAACCTCATAGATCCACTAATTTTGAGTCGTAATCGAACGATGAGTGACCAAAAAATAGACAAATTGAAACATAAATACAAACACAGAGAGGGATCTACCAGTTTTGTGTTGTCGCAGTCACACTTCGTCGATATTTGAAAGGGTGGCGTCGTTGTTGGTGGCTGCACTTCGTGTTCGTGGTCTTTGTTCATTTCTCCGCTGTTCTTTAACTCTTTGATGAAGAAATCAGAGTCTGAGACAGAGACAGAGAGGGAAAAAAAGAATAGATAAGCTAGGGTTTTAGTCTTTAATT